CTTTCTTAAGAATGTATTTCTTTTTCTGTTTCTTAAGAATTTATATCTTGGGTCAGTTGTGATGGCACACACCTTTAATCCCAGCACTTGGGAAGCAGAGACAGGTGGAACTCTCTGATTTTGAGGCCAGGTTGGTGTATATAGAAAATTCTGGAGAGATGGCTCAGAGATTAAAAGCACTGGGGTGCTCTTTCAGAGGTCCTGAGTTCAATTCCCAGCAGCCACATTGTGGTTCATAAACATCTGTAATGAGATCTGGTGCCCTCTTCTGGTGTGCAAGCATACAAGTAGAACACTGTGTACATAATAAATAAATAAAATCTTAAAAATTCCAGGCCAACCAGGACTACACAGACCTTGTCTCTCAAAAGAAAGAAAACTATGTCTTACCTGTGTGGTGGGTCACATCTGTAATCTCAGTAACTCAAGAGATGGAGGCTGTGAGATCTGAAGATCAAGGTCATCCTAGATCACATGAAATCCTATCTTATAACAACACCAAAAGTTTATGTTTGAGATTTTCCTTCCATAGCACACTGACTTTTTGTTGTTGTTGTTTTATTTATTTTTTGTTTTTGAGACTGGGTTTCTCTCTGTGTAGTTCTGGCTGTCCTGAAACTCACTCTGTAGGCCATACTAACATTAAACTCACAGAGCTCTGCCTATCTCTGCCTCCCAAGTACTGGAACTAAAGATGTGTGCTACCATGCCCAGCTTGCACACTGACTTTTTGAGACAGAATTTTGATATGTAGCCCTGGCTGGGCTGGAATTTGCTATGTAGACCAGGCTGATCACAGAAATATACCTATTTCTGCTTCCTGGGAACTGGGATTAAAGGTATATATCACCATACCTGGCTAAGTCTAGCTTGTTGAGCACATGAAATTTCACACAGAAAAACCTTACCTGTCTCCTTTTTCACCAGCACAGTGCTTGCAGCCATTAGACTCAAGTTATATTTAACTTGGTTTTTGTTGTTGTTCTATTGAAATGTGACATAAGTAATTTCCATAAGCTAATACCCTGTTTTTTTCACCCTTATCATTCTCTTCAATAGCATCTATTTTTTCAACCAGTTCTGCCTCCTCTTATACATATATTTCTGCCTCCTCTTATATATATATATTTCACTACACACACACACACACACACACACACACACACACACACGTACACACACACGTTGAGTAGAATGTGTTGTGTATACAGGCATTCTACCACTGAACCACTTTCCTAGCCTTTATTTTATTTAATTAGAAGTTATTTTAAAATTCCAGAAGGGGCCAGGCAATGGTGGTGCATGCCTTTAATCCTTTAATCCCAGTACTCAGGAGCTAGAGGCAGATAAATCTCTTGAGTTTGAGGCCAGCCTGGTCTACAAAGCAGTTTCAGGACAGCCAGGATTGTTAAACAGAAAAACCCTGTCTTAAAGCCCCACCCCCCAAAAAAATTTCCAGAAGCTTATAGATAGATATAATATAATCATAACCAGCTCCTCCAGTTGTGTAACCATGTTACTACACCTTATATATCTGTTTCTAAAGGCTACATAGTGTTCCACTAAGTGTGCATATCTTGGCTTACCTATTACCTTTGCCTTGAGCATCTAAGCAGGTCTCAGCTTTAGCTGAAATATCCAAAGTTACAGTAGTGCTGGGCATGGAACCAGTGCCTTGTACATTCTAGGCAAGTGTGTTACCATATAGCCATACCCCCTGTCCACTATATTTTTATTTTGTATTAGTTTATAAATATGCTCTTAACATAGTTACCTCATTTCCTTAGGTTGAATTTCTAAGATGGAAAGACTTTTCTAAGATGTTTAAGACTTTTTAAATTTTATTTTTATTTTTTTGTGTGCATACATAGTGTGTATAAGTGTGTATGTGTGAAGGTATATTTGTGCCATCCATGGTGTCCAAGAGGTAATAAAAGAACAACCTTAAGTACTAGTATTCATTTTTTACCTTGTTTGAGGCAGAGTTTCATTGTTTGCTACTGTGTTTCATACTTCAGGCTATCTGGTCCAAGGGCTTCTGGAGAATTTTTCTACCTCCCATCTCTCCATAGAAATGCTGAGATTACAGATGCATCACAGACAAAATGGTATGCATCTGGTTTTTACCTGGCTTTCAAGAATCTGGACTCAGATCATCAGGTTTGAATATTACAAGCTTTTACTCATTAAGCCAAGGACATCCCTTGTGTAAGGGTTTTTTTGTTTTTGTTTTTTTTTTTTTTGTTTGTTTTTTTTTTTTTTTTTGGTAGGGGTAATACATGGCTAGGATCGATGTGTTCCTTTTTATTGAATTTATTAAACTCCACATTTGCTGATGATTTTACTGAGACTTTGAACACTGCTCCACGCACAGAGAAATGAAAACTTAATTTCCGGCTGAGATTCTTAGACCCCTATTACAGTCAGGTGGTCATACTTCACTGGTAATGTGTTTGGTTAGCTCTTTCGTATTTTCATACTTTACCTAGCATGATGATGGGTTCAACAGATCCACCCAAAAGAAAAAGCTGTCTCATCCTGCCACGGAGCAGGTACAAGGTTACTGATGGTGGTTGCTTAGCTAGAACCCTTGGGAGTATGCTCCTGCTGTTTTGACCTTCTAAGGAGGCTGCTCTTAGGAGCCCAGGCTCACACACTGCATTGTGGGGGTAGCCAAGACACCATCCTGTGTTACCATCTGCTGCTCTCTTCTCTACCTTGGTATTTATCATGTTCAGGTCACAAGATGTTCTTTCTAGATTTGTTATGCTTTTTGTGATCTCAGGTTGAGCATCTCCTTTAACTCTTGGTAGCTGTTTTCTTTTGCTCATTCTTGGCTACTGTGTGCCTGCCTGTCCTACTGTGTGTTTTCAGAACCCTGGTTCTTTATGGTTCTGTATTTTTTTTCCTTCCTTGTTTATCTAGAAAGCAATCATCCTTGTCTGTCCTGATTATCTCATACACTGACATACTGCTTTGTTTACTAACAGCCATTCAGTCGACTTAGCCCATAGAGTTATATTGTTAGGCTTAAAAAAAAAAAAAAAAAAAAAAAAAAAGTCAACCTATCTTAGTGTATCATTGTGGACTCATGCCTTTTTCTGAAGCTCAGCTTATTCTTTCTGAGCAGACAGCTTTCAGTTTTTGATTGGGTCATGTGTGGTCAGAATAGGCAGGAAGTTTCAGGACCTGATTCGTAGAGTTGTGTACTTTTAAATTTTCTTTTGGGTAATGTTGGAAATTGAACGTAAGGCCTCATGAATGCCAGGTAAGCACTCAAGAACTGGGTTATCTATGTTTGCTGAAGTTCTTGATGAGGACTGTTAGAGACTAGCATGTAAGTAACTTTGATATGCTGAGTTCATTTTATGATGGTTGGGTGGGGTGTGTGATGTTTGTATGTACTTGGACAGTGTACACTCTACTCTTTTCTTCTCCTTCTCTTCTTGTTTGTTTCTTTGTTGTTGTTGTTTTTTTTTTTTTTGTTTTGTCTTTTTGTTTTTGTTTTTGTTTTGACGACCCGGGACTCTGTGTAGCCCTTGCTGCCCTGGAATTCTCTCTTTAGACCAGGCTGGCTTCAAACTCAGAGAGATCTGCCTGCCTCTGAAGCACTGGGATTAAAAGCTTGGGTCATCACTATGTAGCTCTACCTTTTTTCTTTTAGCTTTTAGTTTTTTATTTTTTAATTTTCTTACATTTTTAAAATAACAGAGTCTTACTGGCCTGGGACTTGACAGTTAGACTTAAACTGGCTGGACAGTTAGTGTCCCAGCAATTGCTTATCTCCACTTTCCCAATGCTGAGATTAAAGGTAGACTACCAGTTTTTGCTTTTGTTGATTTTTTTTGGGGGGGAGGGGCAGGGGGAGCTCGCTATTGAACCCAGGGCCTTATGCATGCTAGGTACCTGCTGTACTACTGAGCTATATCCCCAGTCCCCATTTATTTTTTATTTTAATTCTACAGATTGGATTTGGGTCCTATGCTTACAAATCAAATAGTTTACTGATTGAGCTATATCTTCCCCATCTTTTATAGTCAGGGTAGTGTCATTACTATGAGGATATACCAAGGACAGACCTGAAAAGAAGACTTTTATGGATGTGGGTACAATTTTTACATGCTGCAAGTTTAGCTATGAGTACTTAATCCCTTTCTCTGTGTTCCTCTTTTCCACTCCTACCCCACTCCTCCCTCCCTCCCTCCCTCCCTCTCTCTCTCTCTCTCTCTCTTTCTCTCTCTCTCTCTCTTTCTCTCTTTCTTTCTTTCTTGACAGGGTTTCACTCTGTAGCTTTGAAGCCTGTCCTGGAACTTGCTCTGTAGACCAGGCTGGTCTCAAACTCACAAGGACTCACCTGCCTCTGCCTCTCTAGTTCTGGGAACAAAGGCATGCACCGCCACCACCCAGCCCACACATCCTTTTTTGGGTTCATGATCTTGCTATGTAGCCAAGGCTGGCCCAGAGGCAAGCCATGGTTTTTCTGCATACTAGGGTTACAGGTGTTCACCACCACACCTTGCTTATGTTTCCATTTTTAACTGTGTATTTCCTCTCATCTTTCATATTTCTCTCTCATTGACTGTTCTAGCATAATTTTGTTAATGATTGCCAAAATGCTTTCCAAAAGCATTTTAACAGTAACATTAGTTTTGGGCACTAACCATAATTGTATGAGTATTCTTGCTTCATTATAAGTCCTGCCAGTATTGGGTATCTGTATAAAGTAAACACACTCCAGAATTGCATATGCACAATACTATGTCTGCTTACCTTAGCCTGGCCTTAGAGGTAGTTGGAGTAGTACTGAGGGAGATGTGAGGACATGCCTGGATGTGAGCAAGGGAGAGGAAGGGAAGGACTTTGGCTCCAGTGGACACCCAGAGTCAGATAGATGTGCTGTCCTGCCTTCCCCAGTACCATAATAAAGTGCTTGTACTTGGACTCATGTGCTCAGGACAAGAGAGCTGCTTGACTCTTACCATTTTCCTCTGTGTTTGCAGTATGATGCTGTTCCCATTCAGTCCAGTGTGGTGCTATGTTCCTGCCCATCCTCATCAATGGTGAGGTCCCAGACCGAGTCCAGCTCGGCCCCTGGCATTCCTAGTGGTGTTAACAGACAGGGACCCACCATGGATGGCACCACAGCTGAAGCCCGACCAAGTACCAAGCCCTTGCAGCAGCACCCTGCCCAGCTGCCACCACAACCTCGAAAGAAACGACCTGAAGACTTCAAGTTTGGGAAAATTCTTGGAGAGGGCTCTTTTTCGACAGTGAGTATGTGCCTCTACTGCTCTTGCTTTTTGAGCGCAGGGTTCTCTTCTCTTGGGATCACTGACTATTGAGAACACCTGACCAGGCATTGTTCTCCTGGTAGGTGGTTTCATGCCCTTATAGTTGTTTTCTGCTATGAGTGCCACTAGAATTTTGGAGGGAATGGACTCTTCCAGAAAACCACCCGAAGAAAGCATGGTTAAACTGGAGTTTTTTCTGTTTTGGCTTATACTTTTATTCCATATATTCAGGAGGCCGAGGCTGAGGAGTTTGAACCAGGAAATAACATATTGAATGCCTATCTTAAAAACAAACAAAAGCAGCTTTAAAATTACAATTAAGGCATGTCTGTTCTGTATTGTCTTGTCTTACTGGACAGGCCACCAGAAGCTTTTAGTTAGATTGAAAGTTAGTATCATTTGTTTGTTTATGGAGATCGGGTTTCTCTGTGTGTAACAACCCTGGTTGTCCTGGAACTCAGGCTAGCCTTAAACTCACAAAGATCTGCTTGTCTCTGCCTCCTGAGTGCTGGGATTAAAGGCTTGTGCCACCATCACCAGGCAAGCCTTAGTATCTTTTTTTGGAAACTTTTGGTTTGTTTGTTTTAGGACCTAAACTATGACACTAAGTATTTGCTGGAGAGTCCAGATTTATTTATTTATTTTGTAACTTCTAGGCCAAGTGGTTAATTCTGCAAGAGTGTTCACTCTCAATTCCAAATAGCCTCCAGTAAAACAGATTTCTGTGTTCCATCTCCAATCTGAAATAGACACTCCAGGGTAGTTGCAGAGGGGCCTAACTTTTAGAGAATTCCTAAACAGCCAGTCTTCTTGTACCTGACTTTGTGAAGAATGCATATGTGCAATTTGTTTTCTTCTTGTCTTTATTTTTTGAGACAAAGTCTCACTACCGAGCCCTAACTAGCCCAGAACTTCCTGTGTAGATAATGCTGGCCTTGAATTCAGAGATTTGCCTGCCTCTGCTTCCTGCGTGCATGCATTAAAGGTGAGTGCCATGATGACTGGGTGGATTCTTCTCTTACTCTCTCTTTATATTTATGAAAGATTCTAAAATACAAAGAACACTTATATTCTAAACATTTCATTTTGAACTAACGTTGACACTTAAAGTTTAAGGTTTAAATCTTATGTAGCAATTCTGAAGTAATTTTGTTTATAGAAGGATTGTGGCCTTATGAAAAAAGCCTTCAACCATGAAGATTGTTCCTGTGCCTCTGGAACTCACCACGCCTTGTAGGAAGAGGAAATTGCTTTGAGATCCCTGGGTTCTACACTCGACTACAGATGATATTCTAGTGAAGTTATTAATTTTTTCAGTTTACTCCTTTATACTCTTCTTCACAGGGATGGAAATTAGTTAGGTACCATCTTTCCAGAGTGGCAGTCATCCTTCTCATTCAGTGCCATTTTGAACTCATGCCATGAGGTAGCTGGGAAAGCACTGCAAGCAGGAGGCTGTTTCCTGGCTCTTTGAAACCTGTAGTCCTGGATCTCAAATGAGGTGTCACACTGATTCAGCTCTATTCTTGAAATAGCACTTAAATTAGATTTCCAGTATTTTAACCAGATTGAGTAGGATATTCACTTGGCAGAACCTGAAACTAGTGCGAGAGAGCAGAAAGGCCCCAAAGTACATGTCATATCCAAGATAGTAATGACATCACCCCTGGTGACATAGAGCAACATGTCCCATGCAGTTCTCTAGAAGGCTCTCTCTGTTTGTGGGAAACCTGCTTATGAAATTCCAGGTTTAGAAATCAGCTCACAAGCTGGGCATGATGGCACATGCCTTTGATCCTAGCACCAAGCAGGCTAAGACAGGTGGATCTCTATGAGTTCAAGGCCAGTCTGGTCTACATAGTGAGCTTCAGGCCAGCCAAGGATACTCAATGAAACCCTGCCCCCAACAAAAAAATACCCTCCTCAGAAAGGATTCCAATCAACCACAGTACTCTTCCAGCAGCTCCTCTTTCCCTTTTCATACATAGGAAGCTAAGCATGCATGCTCATAAATGAATGTGAATATATATATATATATATATATATATATATATATAGTCTCCATTCCCAAGGGGGAATACACACTGCTCCAGCCTGCTCCTCTCACCCTAGTGGCTGTGAGATATCATGTTCCCTTAAAAGCTTCTTTGAGACCTTTCTGCTTTAAATACATTCAGTTCTACCTTGTTCCTCCTGGTGGCCATGGGCATCTCGTTGTGCTTTTCCAGGCCAGTGTCTAGGGAGTTCTGTCACAGAATATGATTAACAACCAGGAGCCAGGTGACCCTGCCCTGTGACCTTCTAAAGGTTTTTCCAGCAGGCCCAGTGAATTCTTGGGGCATGTTTTATTTGCTCTTTGATTCTCTGTCTATCATTTCAGGTATCTAAAAAAGCACTAATTTGCATTTATCAGCTATTTTGGGGCTAAGTGTCTTTGGCAAAGCTGCCCCTTCAGACTCTAGCTAAACGTTGGGCCTGTCAGCTCCTTTCAGTCTGCCTCAGGTGTGCCCAGGGTTTACTGTAGTCTGCCACTGAAGCAAAGTCTCACAGGCAGAGATGTGCTCTATATAGAGAACGTTCTGTAAAGATGGTTTCTTCTGTGCTGTTTTAGTTTTTGGTACACAATACAGCCATAACTATGTTCATGCTATTAAATGAACTATATGACAGCAATTATTTGGAGCAACCTAAATCAAGGGCAGCTTTTTTCTTAGGTCTATATTGGAAGATCTCTCTCTCTCTCTCTCTCTCTCTCTCTCTCTCCTGCCTGCCTGCCTGCCCGCCCATCTTTTGTTGTTTTGTTTTTTAAGACAGGGTTTCTCTGTGTAGCCCTGGCTGTCTTGGAACTCTCCCTGTAGACCAGGCTGGCCTCAAACTCAAGAGCTCCACCTTCCACTGCCTCCTAAATGCTGGAATTAAAGGTGTGCGCCACCACCTGGTAAGACATATTCTTGAAGTTATTTTTTTCTGAAGAAATTTCCAGTACCCACTGTGGTGATATTTGGACTTGTCAGTCAATAAAATTCTTTTTTGTTTGTGATAGGGTGTGTTGAGACAGGCTCTTATTGTGTAACAGTTGCCTGGAGTTTGGAATCCTCCTGCCTCTGGCTTCCAAGTATTAAGATTATAGGTGTGTACATTAAAAACTCCGGGTAGCTAACTGATTATGAACTTTTGAAAATGATGGCACAATTACTGTTTATCATTTAATGTTTGTTATCATAGCATAAGCAGTGGCTTTCTGATATGTTTGTTAGTATAGGATCCAATGTAACTTTAAATGTAACTTCAAGTTGTGTGTATGGTCTGGGCAGCCTGTGCAGGATGACAGTGACTTACTAGATTTATCTCATTATTACACTGTGTTCCCCCCCCCCCCCAACCAGGTTGTTCTGGCCCGAGAACTGGCTACTTCCAGAGAATATGCTAGTAAGTACTAACTCCAGTGATCTGTGTATTGGGATTCAGGGGCAGTGCTACTTTTGTACATATGGCAGGCAGCCTGGGTAGTGGTAGGGCCTATGCTGATTTCGGTCTATGACAAATGTTAGTTAGTTTTCTAGACCATGAAAACTTAAGTGGGTGGTTTGGGGAAAGCTGCAGTTTATGTCAGTTACCTTTATAAATTTACTATTTTTTGCATTTTCTAAGTTAAAATTCTGGAGAAACGTCATATTATAAAAGAGAACAAAGTCCCATACGTAACTAGAGAGAGAGATGTGATGTCACGCCTGGATCACCCATTCTTTGTGAAACTTTACTTTACATTTCAAGACGACGAAAAGTTGTGTATCCTTTGCATGGTCAGTGCTGCCTGAAAACTACCTTGTGTTTTAGAATAGTGACTACATTGTTTGTTCCTTGAAAGGAAAGGACACAGCATGGATTCCCTGTGGGGACTGATATCCTTGGAGGCAACAGACAGTAGCACTTTGAAGGGGAAGCTGTCCCACAGTATTGATGTTTATCGATAAATAATGTACCTAATGGATTGTTATTTTAGCCATGGTTGCTGGACATTGATGCAGAAATGTCCCCTCTTTCCTCTAGCAAATGTTTTGGAATGTCTGTTAGGTATTATTGACTCCTGTTTTTGAAAAGTGAGGGCTTAAGATAAAAAAATGATTTTGGGTTTCCTCAAGTTCCTACAGTTGGCATCAACTTCTCCATACCTTCTTCCGACCTGAGGTACTGAGTTTGGTCAGAAGAACAACTTGACTGGGCATTTGAGAAGTCAGGAACCCAGAGTGCCATCCTTCTGTAGCTCTGTCTACTGCTGGGCTTGCTCAGCCTTTCCAATTCCTTAGAGCTGTTTAAATTGCCTTTCCAGCAGATTCACCTGTATGTATGTTTAACATTGTTGTCTACATTCCTCTTTTTCCTATGTTTTATTTACTTATTTATTGCTTTTTTGAGACAAGGTTTCTCTACATATCACTCACTGGCTGACTTAGGACTCACTATGTAGACAAGATTGCCCTCAAGCTCACCAAGATCCCTCTGCCTCTACCTCTGCCTCCCTAGTGCGGGGAGTAAAGGAATGCACCATCACACTCTCCATTTGCTTCCACTTTTAATGACATCCCTGGCTTCTTCTGCTAGATGCATCTACTTGTGCTCCTCCCCCCTCCTGCTTTCCATTTAGAAGTGCTTATTTACGGGGAGAGGGGCAAAATGCTGATATCTTCTTCATGGGATTGACTATGCTTTGAAAGAGCTTGTACATAGACTATTAAAAGCTATGCCACAGATGTTAAGATAGTAGGATAAGTTGGAAGGACAAGCATTGGTGTCTGGAGTGTGTGGGTCTTTGATCCTTCCTTGTAGATGTATGAGGGCAGAAGCATGTGGGGCTCTCAGTGGGCCAGGTTTCTGAGCTGTGAAGTTGTGGTACCAATTCTGAATTTTCTGTGTGGAGGGGTTGGCTCTGATTCTGGTGTCTGTGGTTCAGACTCCGGGAAAGCAAAATTAGATGTCTTCTGGTGTTTGCCTTCAGAGCCTGATCTACACTGTCATCTGTTACTGAGCCTAGAGAGGCTTGGCAGTGGCTAGATGGGAATAGGTTGTCATTTGATGTATGTACTGGTGCTTGTTTGAGGTCTCAGTGGGCCAGTGGGTGGCTGCTAGGAAAGCCTCCAAGGAGGTGAGTTGTCAGCTGGTTGGCCAGCTACTCAGAAGACTCTGGGAGCCTGGAGATCCAGAGGCCACAGATCACATAGGTTCTGATGAGGGGCTGCCTAGTTGCACAGCCTGGCAATCTAGTAAGTGGCCTGTCCCTGGCCAGAGGTTTAGTCAGTGAACAAGTTGTTGAGAGTTGGACAGGCAGTTTCTTGGGGGCAAAGTTTATGACAGAGGTGAAGCAGTCAGTAGAGATAGACCAAATAGTCTCTTTGTGGAGGACATGTTTAAAGAGGAAGGTCCAGTAGGTTCCAGGAGAACAGATATGTTGATGATGATGGTCTTTAGAGTAAGTAGAGCTTACTGTTTCCCACTATCATCCCTGATCCCCCACCTCTGCTGGCATTGTTTACACAGCAGTCATCAGTGGCTTCTTTATATTCATTAATTACATAGCTCTCTGAACCTACCTTAATTCCTCTTTTATGTTCCCTGTGCATGAAAGTCCATAGAAGTCCAAGTTCAGGTCTGAGCTTTTCTGCCGGTCCTCACAACAATGCTTTTTTTTGTTTTCTTTTGTCTTGAAGCTGTGTTACTAGTCAGCTGTGTGTCACTGCTACAAAATGCCTGGGGCAGGTAGTTCTTTGAAGGGAAGAGATTTGTTTAGTTCATAGTTCACAGGAGGCTGAGTGTCCAGATGGCATGCATGGTGCCTTATGGTATATAGTGGATGTGTGAAGGAAGGATCACATTTTAAGTCAGGAGGCAGAGTAAGTAAGTAGGTGTGGTTGGACTTGCTGGACTTGCTTCTTTTATGCAAATCTTTTTTTTTTTTTTTTTTTTGGAGACGGTTTCTTTGTGGAACTGGGATTAAAGGTGTATACCACCACCACCAGGCCGTGTCACACTTTTGAACAATTTCCAATTATCACTGAGTCTCAGGAGCCCAGTAAGCCAAAGAATGTTGCTGCTTAAAGATTCCCCCCCCCTCCAGTCCTACCACTTGGGAGACCAAGCCTCTAGTCGCATGCACCCTTGAGGAGACACCAAATCATATCAAGACAGTGAATAGCCAAGACAGAATTACACATGCTTGACTTCATCTTCTGTCAGGGTTACAGTGGTAGAATCATAGCTCGGAAGCCAGACCAGAGTGTCCTTGCTATGTGATTTCTAAATGAGACTGGCCATGTTGGTTCAAGTGGAAAGAACTCTAGGTCTTTGTCTAATGGCACATACTGTTCTTGGTCTAAGACCCAGAAGGTCACAACGGCTTGCTACCTCCCATGGGAATGAGATCCAGTAGCTTCTGCCTCACTGGTAATCAGTCCTCACTATAATTTGTGTTGAAGAAAAATGAAACTTTTTGCATGAAGAAATGCCCAGATATGACACTGTCCTTCATTTAGTCACAATTTCAAGTGAAGGAGAGGGACTAGTCCTTGTGTATTTTCTTTTTATTACCTTCAAGAGCATCTGGATGAACCCATACCCATTCAGGACATGTAAGATGAGGCAGAGGCTGGAGGCACCTCTGCCATAGACTGAAAACAGACAGATAAATTACACAAGAACTGTTGAGGGCTGGCTCTCCATCAGATTTAATGTAGGGACCTGGGAAAGTAAGTCCAGAGGCTTGGTCAAGCCTAAGTTTTCCCTGAGGTGTTGTAGTCCTGTCTAGATAGGAGCCAGTGAGGGAACCTTCCTCTTCACACACAGATGAAGACTAAAGAGTTCTCAGACGTAGGTGCTTTCTACCCCATCATCTTTAAACTCCTACCAGACCAATCTGCACTTGTTTGTCCTCGTGATGCCTCATTTGCAGCATGGAGTCAGGACTACAGGACTGGGTTCTAGTCCTGAGTGAATTGCTTAATCTCTCCCAGATTCCTCTTCTGCAAATTGCACACATTGGGTTCTTAGGTTCCCAGCTCTGTTAAGGCAGTTGGTTTGTGCCTGCTGTCCCAGGGGCTTACTCAGTCTGTGACAACTTTTGCTGCCCTGGAGCACTGACTATGGCCAAGTGGGTAGAGGATGGTCTTAGGACGCACACTAGATTGATGAACTCTAAAAGAACATTCTGGAATGGGGAAAGATAAATTGCAGAGAACCAACAGCCTGAGAAGTAATTCCATGCTATGTTTAAGATAGCTTGCTTTTGCTTCCCCCCTGAGCAGAGACCCACAGGTGTCTCTCTTACAGGAACCAGTGAAGGGTCAGATAAAGGCTAAAGCCAGAAAGAGAAGTTACTCCCTATTCCCTTTATCCCATGGCTGTGGTCTTATACCTGAGCTCCTAACTGGTGAGGCCCTGCTGCCAGCCTATGTCAGGCTAGAATTGGCTCCATGGTCTGCTGATGTAATAAATCCCCATTGACTACAAAGGATTTATTTCAGCTTAGAGTCCATATCATAGTCTGTCACTGAGGGAAGTCAGATCAACAAATCAGGGCAGGAATCTCCAGACAGGAGCTGTTGCAGAAGCCATGGAGGATTGCTGCTGACTGGTTTGCTTCCTATGACTTTTTCAGCCTGCTTTATTGTACATCCCAGGATCACCTTCCCAGGGATGGTACCATCTAACACCAATCACTATTAAGAAAATGCACTACAGTCTTACAGGCAAATCTTAAGAAGGCAGTTTCTTAATTGAGATTCTCTCTTCTCAGATGACTGACTTGTGTCACTTGACATGAAACTAGCCAAGACATGGCATCAGCCTCTTGTTTGAGGGAGCGGACAGGATACAGCTTGGCCTGAAGGTCTCTGTCAAGCTTTGAGTTGAGAGACATAGATGGTCAGAGATGGGCCTGGCCAGGAGCCTCTTTACCAGCTTTAGTTGTAGTCCATTCTCTTTTGGGTTTGTTTCTTTCCCCAGAGCCTCAGGCTCCTTCCTTGGTGGTTGGCAGGAGTGCCTTGGCAGACAAAAGCCAGAATGGAGCATTTGGACCCTTGTGTTCCAGGCTTCTAGGGAGGTGTGGTACCTGGAGATTTCCAGTAAGAAGCACAAATATTTAGAGTTTCAGGGGAAAACAGTCATTTGTAGCTGGGTTTTTTTTTTTTTTTTTGGTCCCCTTTGAAGAAAAAAGCATAAGCAGAACATATTGCAGCATAGGTGTGTATGTGGGGCGGGGGCCAAGGGGAGGGTATTTCTCATCTCCCCAGCAGGTATTTCTCAATTGGATCAAATGAATCAGAAAATTAAAACTGTTATAAAACATGTTGCTTTAATGCACAGGACTGTTAGCATAGCCCATGGAATGCAGCAAGTTCAGACAAGGGTCATAGTGGCAGTCTCTTGGGGTTCTGTTAGTACTCAGTCTTCAGAACTATGTTGTTAGTGCCTTGGCCATGGTCTGTTGGTCCAACAGCCACCTAGAGGCTTCCTTTCAGAGGCCTCTAAGGACTGTGTGTCTAGAAGAGCACCAGGGCTGAAAGGGACTATGTCATTTTCTTAGAAATTCTGTGCTGGCATCTGGTCTTGGAGCTGGGGCCTGGATCTGACCCGAAAAAGGGGAACTATCTTGGAGCATAGGTACCTTTAATATGCATTTAATGAAAGTAAAAAGTTCTTGTGGGGCTTTTAAGGTTAATTTTTCTGTTCTTCCTTAACCACAAATGTTCAGATTTTGGGCTTAGTTATGCCAAAAATGGAGAGTTACTCAAATACATCCGCAAAATCGGTTCATTTGATGAGACCTGTACCCGGTTTTACACAGCTGAGATCGTGTCTGCTTTAGAGTATTTGCACGGCAAGGGCATCATTCACAGGTAATGGACACTGCTCCAGATGGTGTGTACATCATAGCCCCTGTAATGATTAGGGGTGGGGACTCTGAGGCCATACCAGCCCTCTGAGGTCAGCATTGGCTAGCTTTATACAAGTTACAGTGTAGGTATTTCCAGGTGATGGCTCACTGAGAAACCTGAAAACAGGCTGGAAATGAAAGGATCCTGCACTTTGAAAGCTCATGTCTAGGTTGTCAGTTCAACTTGGATGAATTGTCTTCCTGTGACACTAAGCAGATCAGATATCTGGTGCTTTTGATTTTGTCAGTTGTAACTTGTATCTATTTAATTCTGGTCCCGTGCTTTATAAGTTCAATAAAATGTTACTAAAAGTGGTAGATGAAGCAGATAGGATCTCATGGAAGCCAGAGGTGTTAAGATGTTTGTAACAACTGTTTAAAGATAAAATTGTTATAGCTATAAAATAATTTTGGGATGTCTATATCCTATGCTGTTGCCACTGTTTGATGTGAACTTTGGGCTTGTATTCTAGGTTCTTAGTCTGTAAAGAAGGTTCATCACTTTATTGTGTTTCCATCCAAATGTACAGTATGTGATAATGCTCCTACTTTGTAAGCATTTCATTTCAAAGGTAAAATTCTGCTTTTACAGAGACCTTAAACCAGAAAACATTTTGTTAAATGAAGACATGCACATCCAGATCACAGATTTTGGAACAGCAAAAGTGCTATCCCCAGAGAGCAAGCAAGGTATGTTTGCTTGACTTTTCAGTAGAGCCCTTTTCTGGGCTTAAGGCTGAGAGCTACTTTGAGCAACATGTTACATTGTATGGTTATTATCACTAATTACAGAGATTCCTTTTGGCTCCTCAAAGTGTCATAGTGTGTGAAGTCTAGTAGCAAGGAAAGGACCAAAGATAGCTCTGCTAGTTCTTGCTCCATAAAACATAGGTCACTTGCGAGCTAGGGGTAGAGTTGGTGGCGTCTGTATATACTGTAGGTGGTGTCTTCAGAACACTCCATTGCCTTTCTCTCACCCATCCTTCTGTCTTCCCATCTGATGTATATAGCTGCCTGTGATGGCCCGTGCATCCTCAGGGAGATTCTAGGAAAATTATATGAGTAAGGGCTAATTTTGCCTATTATTACAAGTTATATTCAGAGTTAGTACATAGCCTTGGATCACATTGTGACACCTGTATTGTCAGGGTCCGTGGGATGGCTTGTTGCCCTTCTGTCACTGACATCCTCAGTGGATAGAAACTGCCCACTCAGGGTATAAAAAAAGAACAATTGGATTTCTGAGAACTCTGCCACAGCATTGAGTAGAGAGACAATAACCTACTGATGATGCTGTCTAGGGGAGGGAAAGCTGCCTGGTAGATTAGTAAATGCCCTTGATTCTGAAGTGCATGGGATTCTTCTGAGCTACCTGGCCCTTTTGCCAATACTTAGGGTCTCAGCAAGAGAGAGAAAGACCTTCATTAAGACTATTAGATGTGGTTGGCCACTGGCTTGGAGCACAGTTGTGTTAGTGGAAGGAAGAGTCTGATAAGCACTTTACAGTGTGTGATTTTATGGCTGTGGCTACTTTTTGGAAAAGAGCAGTGCAGTAGGCTTCTGACCTGTTTCCACAAACAGCAAACCAGAGAGGATTACAGCTGGGGATGAAATAGAGTTTAGATAATGAAACAAGTTCTGTTCACATGGTGCTGTAGGAGATGGCCTGCTGGTTTCCTTTCATGGAATCTTGCATTTCCTTCTATAGGCTGTTCCCATACATGTTCTTTGTCAGATTTTATCTGTTCTTTGCCTTTGTACAGTCCTCCTGTACTGACTGGTAACGTATCTACAGCATCCTTTGCAAACAGCAAACCTTACACCTTTGAGGAAAGATGCTTCCTCAGGTGGTGTAGTAGTGCCCTTGCTGCCCCTTCTGTCACTGCTGAAATGCCCTGATTCTTGCATCTTTAAAGACTCATGTCCATTGTCTATTTTAAAGTTGAATCAAATGGTCACCCCATCTCTTAACTCTTTCTTGTGGGGAGAATCTCTCTGTTTTCCCATCATGCCTGTGCTGATTTTTCCTGTCCAAAACCTGGAGCTAGGATGTCGCTTTGATCCTGAATCAAGTTTAAGAGCTGTGCTTTGGACATTTTTTGGTGTACATTTTCTTCAGAATCTGATAATTCAGCACAGGACTAACCTTACTGCTCTGTAGCCACTTTTAAAAAGCATAGAAATGTAGCCCAGCACTGTCTTCCATATGGAAGCTGAGTTCTCATGTTCCTCAGGGACCTGGAGTGAATGGGAGGTGGACCCCTTATATGGGTTCAGAACATCTGGTGTCTGCACTGTAGTTTGCAGATGAGTGTCTCATGGGTCAGAACTATAGGCAGTAGAATGTAGACACTCTCTGGGCTGGAAGCCTAAGTCTTTTTGCCCTGGTATCTTGAATACCCAAGCTAGTAGTGACTAAAAGAGGATGGTCCCTGATCTGCAGCTGTTTATATGTGCCTGCTGGGTGTTCAGTTTGTATTTAGGTGCCACAGGTCTAGTAATAAGCACCACAGACAAGGACCTCTGTCCTTACATTGCTTTTCTCTAGTGGCAAGATGATGGATGAATGTGGTGAGTACCTACAGTTGGGTGTTAGGTTGGAGGTGCTAGGTAGATAGGTTCTAGCAGGTATCCTTAGTAGGGTCCTTTAATTGCTCAATCTAGTTCAGGTGACCAGTTCAGTTGACAGTCAGCTCCCATCTGCTATAGTTAGTTAGATGTTGACACTCTGAGGAATACACAGGAGGACCAATGTGGTTGGGGGCTAAGGATTACATTTTTAAGTGTGACCTTTTCTTTTTTTCCCCCCTCTTCACTTCTTAGCTAGGGCCAACTCATTTGTAGGAACAGCACAGTATGTTTCTCCAGAGCTGCTCACGGAGAAGTCGGCGTGTAAGAGGTAACCTGTTTTTGATACAACTGCTCTTCTCTTCTCTCTGTGATATCTACTAGGTTTAGTCATGAGGAATTACTATTTGAAAGAGAAATTTTATTTAGGTCTTAAATAGCTACATAGAAGCTTGGTACAATGATACATCCCTTATAATCCCAAAGTATGAATTAGGGAGAATCATGAGTACAAATACAGTCAGGGATACATGGTGAAACCTTGCATGAAAACAAACAAAAATGGTTAGGCATGTTGTTGCACACCTTTAATCCTAATACTCAAGAGTCAGAGGCAGGTAGATTTCTGAATTCAAAGCCATCTTAGTCTGTATAGCAAGTTCCCAGACCAGCTGGGGGTTTCATAGTGAGAGCCAAAGAAGTTAGTCTTCTGTTTATTTTTTAATACATGTACTTTCCCTTTGATATGTGTGCATTCTACTTTTATAATTTATAATTCCTTGCTGGTTATTGCTTTTTGGGTAGAAGCTGATCATCTTCATTTAGGAAAGCTGTTCAATGGACAAGTGTGACTGTTATGCCACAGGATTATAGCAGGCTTGTGCCTGTTGTAGTGTCATGGGGTCTTTGGAGGTAGATAAAAGCCCTAGAGAGACAGAGGGAAGAAATTTCTAGCCCAGGGCATATAGTTCTGGGGTAGGCTTGGCAGTGATCATGGCATTGAGGTTGTTTGAGAGATGCAGCTGGATCTTAGTGGTGGCCTCAGTAATGAATATCAGAAGCATAGAGTGTGTAGAGTGATGTAGAGACTGGCATTGGAACATTTTTGTTTGTTCGTTTTAATGTATGTGGCTATTTTGCCTACCTGTATGTCTGTGTACCACGTGCATGGGTGGTATCCTTGGAGACTAGATGAGGATGTTAGATACCCTGGAACTGGAGTTATGGATTGTTGTAAACCACCATGTAGGTTCTGGGAATGGAACCTAGGTTCTCTGGAAGAGCAATCAGTGCTTTTAACCACTGAGCCATCTCTCCAGTACAGATTCATTTACTTATTTATCTATTTATTTATTTATTCAAAGGTCAGAGGTTAGAGAGTAAAGAAGGGCCATTCTGAAGGGAGACAATGGCCCGAGGCCATGCCAGTCAAAGACACTGTCTTTACAGACTGAAGAGCCACATTAGGATATGGATTTAAGGTTTGAAGAGCAGGTTCAGGAGACAGGCTCTATTTCTTGAAGCTATAACTAACTGGGTGCTTCTTGAAAAACTACTTTGTATCTGGTTTAACCCCAGCTGTCTGGCCTCTTGTGAGTTCTGAACATAGGTATCCTGCTTAAGCAGGTTGCAAAGGGGGTCACCTGTGTAAATGAATGTGGGAATCTGGTTAGGTAGCTCTGAGATTGACAGCTTTGGAAAACCTAGAGGTGTACCCAGGGGGACAAACAATGTCATCAGAATTTGAGTTCTTACCTTGAGCCAGACATTGTTCTAGGTCAGATCTTTTGGGTTGTTTGTTTGTTTGCTTTTTAGTGTATATAAGTATTTGCCTCTGTGTATATATGTTTACCATCTATGTGCTCAGTCCTTGCAAAAGGCCAGAGAAGGCATTAGAGCCCCTCAAATTGAAATTGCAATTTTGAGTTGCCATTGTAGGTACTGAGAACTGAACCTCTGTAAAGATAGCAAGTGCTCTTAACCATTGAGCCATCTATCCAGTCCCTGAAGCTTTTTACTGTTTCAGCTTGGGGTGGGATGTGTTGGCCTATAATGAATGAAGGCCAGGGATGTCACTTAGCATCCTGTAATGTGAAGAAGATGATCTGGCCAGTGTTAGCAGTGCCAAATGATGGGTGCTATTTTTTCAGTTTTCCAGTATATATTGTTGCTGAAAAACCAGCTTTTCTTACTGTCAGCTCTTCCTAATATCAGTGCCAGCACTGATAGGAAAAGAGCTCCAGGCTCTGGGGAGTCAGGTACATACATGTTTGCTCTATGTAGTTCATATTCTCCAGGATGTGTAAATGTGAGTGAAGGAAATTGTCTGAAATTAGAACAATGTTTTGAGGGAGCCATCACTTTGTCTCTTTTAATTTTGAATTTTAAATTTTGTGAAGTCACTAAAATATTGAGGGTCTTTTAAAATAGAGTTTTAAATGGAATGCCTATAAATTGTAGTGAACTATAGAAAATTGATCTCTATGTATGTTCCCAGATAGTTTGTGTTTTTCTCGTCATTTGGTGCATTTATGAATGTTGGAAGTTTTCACACGTGTGCAGTCATACAGTATATCCAGTATGAGTTCTCTTGGTTTCATGCTGATTAATAACCTGATTCATTAAAAGTATCTGCATATATCTTTTCCAACTAGCATTTTTTTGTTGTTGCATGAGATTATCATAATTTATTGAGCTATCCTGTTCATGGGTGGTGCTGATTTGCTTGTGTATGCCCTGGAGATGATACAGACACTTGGCTTCAGGGTTACCTTCTCGCTCTTCTGATAAAACAGAGCTGGGGCTCTGGAGTTCATGCTTCAAGGTTTAAGACTTGCCCCATCTGGTACTTTAGAAAGCCTTGATACACTGCTTCCAGAGCCAAAATGCAAATGACAGAATGCTGAGATAGTTTACAGAGAAGCTACCTAAGCCCTTACTGCTTGAGTTCCCACATTCTAGAGGGGACCCTGAGAGGTCTGAGTGGTTTGACCTTACCCTGCCCTTCTCTTGCTTCTATGTACCTACTTTGCTACTTGATTTTTGTTTGTTTCACTCCCTGTTTTACCTAGACAAAGCACTAAAGAAAACCAGGTGAATAAAATGATAAGCTAGGTGTTAGAGAGATGGCTCAGTGGTTAAGAGTACTGGTTGTTCTTCCAGAAGTCCCATGTTCAATTCTTAGCACCAACATGATGGCTCACAACCATTTATAACTCCATTCACAAGGGGTAAGAAGCCCTCTTCTGACCTCTCAGAAGAGCACTGCATATACATAGTGCACATACATACACACATACAGCCAAAACACTCATACACATAAAATAAAATATATTAAAAATAGTGAGGTGATCATGATAACATGTCTCTTACTTGTAGCAGTTGAGGTAGAAGCAAGCCAATCATGTATTGTGTACATCCTTTCGAGCCCCACATTCATCCGGTTTTTAAATCTTTTCTGAGGTGAGCCCAAGTCATGCCCAAAGAGAGCATTTGAATTAGTTATAGCAGTATCACCCTACAGTGACAAAGCTGTCTCTTCTAGCCCCGCTCCCTAGCACTAGGAGCTTCTCCCTCAGACTTCCTAAAGTTGCAACTAGTTAGCATTCTTCAACTCTCAGCTTACCTGAGGAGAACTGTGTTCTCTTCAGAACAAGACAAGGACATGTAGAAGTTATTAACCCTCAATAGACATCTCCAGGGGAGCTGAACAACTTGGTAGCTCTTCCATTTGACTCAGGTCACAGGGAGATGCTCAGAAAAGCAAATTCAAACTTCCCACATACCTTGTCTTAAGGGATAGGAATACATTGGAGGCTGAAGGTAGGGTGGTATAGACAGAGAGTGCAAAATGAACCTTTTTTTATCATTTAAATTATACCAATCCCATTTTTCTTTGTGTTTTCCCTACCTTAAAGTTCAGACCTTTGGGCTCTTGGATGTATAATCTATCAGCTTGTGGCAGGACTCCCACCGTTCAGAGCCGGGTAAGAGGGATTCTGTACATCTCAGGCTTCTGATCCTATCACAGCATACTCTACTGCCATCAGCTGCTGGGAGGTCTGGACAAAGGTTGTGTCCAGTGGGGAGGAACTTCTACCATAACTTAAGAATATGTGGTACCTGGGGACTTTAACAAGAGCTGGCCTGGGAGGTGAAGGTGACATTGGGTTGTTCTGTAAAGTGCACCTGGTATTAGAGATTTGAAAAACCCTTGCCTAAATAACAGCACTTTTTTATTTTTAAATTCACAGAAATGAATATCTTATATTTCAGAAGATCATTAAGCTAGAATATGATTTCCCAGAGAAATTCTTTCCTAAGGCAAGAGATCTTGTGGAAAAACTCTTGGTAAGTATTTTGGATTTTCTGTGGTGAGGAATCATCATAGCTACCTTCTGCTGTTGCACTCATGGGCATCCTTTTGAAAAATGTGCTTAAGGTAGACAGTGATTATAGATAGGTAAGTATTTTTTATCTCATCTCAGTACCTAATTCTTGACTTTAAAGAGGAAGTTACTGTATCATTTTGTGTGTGTTCATTAACATTGCATCACATTTTAAGTGATTGCCATTGAGTGACTGGGTTTATCCAAGTCAGTGCAGATGGCTGTAAATCTTGTTCAGTGACATCTGCCAAAGTCACTTTTAGAGTGTAAGCTACTTGTAAAGGTCAGCCTAGGTAACAAGGCAGAGAGAAACAGATTTACCCAAGAAAGAGCTGTCTGTCATTTTATGTTAAAAAAACCTTGGGGGGGGGGCGGTTTCAGCTTTGTTGCTTTGTACCCTGATCTCCTTTCCTCATATTTCTTTGGGAATCAGGTCCATGTCCTATATTCATGGGTAGGTTCAGGGTTGGCTCTTCCTAACCATCCTTCTGAGCTGTTTCCTTCATTTCCCTCATTACGGAGTGGGCTTGATTCAACCTTGCAGGCATAGGAGTAACTGTGCCACAGCCTTTAAGAGATATGATATTCCACCCAGTGAGAGCCTCATTGTTCATTTACTTTGTTCTTATAGGCAGAGTCTTGGCTGTTTAGCCCAGGTTATCCTAAAATGCTTGACAGCCTTCCTGCTCAACTTGAGTGCTAGGATTATAGTTATATATCACCACTCCTTGCTTGACTTTTCACAGTTATTATTTCTTATTTTTGTTCTTTTTTCTTTTTTAAAGTTTTTTATTTGTTTGTTTGGTTGTTTTTTGTTTTTTCCAGACCGGGTTTCTCTGTGTAATAGCCCTGGCTGTCCTAGAACTTGCTTTGTAGACAAGGCTGACCTTAATTCACAGAGATTTGTCTGCCTCTGCCTCCCAAGTGCTGGGATTAAAGGCATCCACCTGGCAGCATTTTTGTTTTCAATAAGTGAGCATTTTTTTTCTCTCCCATTTTTTGAACAACATTTTTATTCTTTGAAAATTTCAGACATTGTGTTTTCAACATATATACTCCCCAACTTTTTCCATTATCATCTTCCCATCCCTTCCTAGCTTTAGAATTACTTCTTCAAATCCAGTTTGTGCTGCCCAGATAGTTGTGGGAGTGGGGCTTGCCCTGTTGTGTGGTCAGCCTACCAGGGCTCACATCATTTTATAACATTTTTAGCTGTGTGCTTTAAAAAGATGCTTGCTGCCACCCTCTGACTTTTGAGGTTGAGATTTGTTTTACCTGTAGAAAGAAAAAGGCAGAGCCTTGGGTTGAGTAAGAATCTTGGTCAATTTTGGCTTTTTCTACTTTGGCATGGGCAGGGGTATGGACCACAGTGTCCGTACTCTTTCCAGAAGGTCTCAGGACTTGGAGACACTTGCACAAAATAAATAAACAAATACTTACATTTCAACCCTGACAGTGACATGTCTTGGCTATCATTTAAGGTTTTAGATGCCACAAAGCGTTTAGGCTGTGAAGAGATGGAAGGGTACGAGCCTCTCAAAGCTCATCCATTCTTTGAGTCCATCACATGGGAGAATCTGCACCAGCAGACACCTCCGAAGCTCACAGCTTACTTGCCAGCCATGTCAGAGGATGATGAAGACTGCTATGGCAACGTAAGCTGGCACCCATGGGGACTAGTTCAGGCAAAGAGAAATTTGCTTGCCATGCTGTATAAATATGATTCCTTGGAACTCTAATGTATGTGATTGCTGGTTAAAATGTATGAGTGAATATGGTGGATTTGATGGTGGTTAATACTTGTTTTGATAAGTAAATGATAACACATTTTGTGTAGGTGTTCTTATTTCTGATTCCTGCTCTTATTTTCTCAGCTGATGAACATTTACCTGTTTGGGGGATAGGGATGGGAGGGAGGCAAGGGATGTGGTCTGGACCTGTGGATGAGAGACCAGTGACCTGCCCTAATCCCTCATCTTTTGACACTGCGGCCCTGGAAGCTCATCATTGGCGGCTTTTGGCTCAGAGCCTTTCTGATTTTGTTTTGTTTTGTTTTGTTTTGTTTTTTTAATGTTCTGAAATGCTTATTTTTTCAAGAGACCCCGGGATGCTACTGATTTGAATTCCCAGGGATGTGGTTTGGGAGGGTAGACTCCAGTCCCTGTAGCTTGATGCTCAGCAGTAGGTACCTAGTGTTTCAGTGGTGCTGCCCTGTGGGGTTTGTGTGCAGTTGCTGTCACTGGCTTCAAAGCAGCTTGTCTCTGAAGAATTGACAGTAGACACAAGACCTTGAATAAACTTTGGTTTTAAAACTTTCTACATTGAAAAGTGGGAAACACCAGCAAAAGAGACAGAAATAAGTAATAGTGTCCCTCCACAATTTCAGTCTTGTTTTTTAAAAGATTTATTTATTTTATGTATATATGAGTGCTCCATCTGCATGTATACCCTTACACCAAAAAAGGAAATCAGATCCCACTATAGGCGGTTGTGATCCACCATGTGGGTGTTGGGAATTGAACTCAAGACCTCTGGAAGAGCAGCCAGTGCTCTTAACCTCTGAGCCATCTCTGTAGCCCCCACGGTTACAGTCTTATCCAGACTCTGCTTCCATTGTGACCACCATATTTAATTTTTCTTTTAACAGTTCGTTGATTCAAGTCAATTTTTTTTTCTCATTTCTGTTTTCTTGACTTATTCTAACTTCTGTTCAACTGACTGAGCAATTATGACATTTACCTGAAAGCCTTCAAAAACAGCCAAGCTTTGTGAATGTGGGTGTGTGTGGGTGATCTCAGCATTCAATAAGCTGAGGCAAGAAGACTAAAAGTTGGGGCTGGAGATACGGCTCACTGGTTAAGACGACTTTCTGTCCTTTCATAGATAGTGAGTTCGATTTTCAGCACCCACATATTGGCTCACAACTGTCTATAATTCCAGGCCCAAGGAATCTGGGAACATTAAGTGTAAACACACACACACACACACACACACACACACACACACACACACACACACTATATGTTAGGCACTGTCTCAGAATAAGACATACATACAAACAAAAAACCCCAAACAAAAGAGGATCTTCTAAACCTAAATTAAAAGTATTGTTATTTTTGCCTCTTAGAGATCAAGGAATTATCTGTCTTTTACTTGCTGTTTGGCATATCCCCATTTTCTCCCAAAATGCCCTTTGTGCCCAGACTTATAGGGAATGAAACTCAAGTGCATCTGTGCAGACAGTGGCCGGTTCTGCATATGTCCACTGCAGAGAAAGGCCTTGAGCCAGGAGTTCCTGCCCCTGCCCCTCTTGCTTCCAAAATGCTCTTGAGTGTTGTCCTTTTGGGTCATGTCATAGGGTGCTGGTGGAAACCTTGGTGTTGTCTTTATTAGAACTCTCATTCTTGCAGAAGTTAACCAGGATTGGCAGGCAGTCCTTCAGCCCATGGGCTCTGTCCCTTCCTATCACTCCCAAAGGCAGCTGATCTTTGAAAGGGCAGGATAGACTCCATTATCGTTGATCTTAGTAGCCAGGAGCTACATATATTTCTTCATGTATATTTTATGTGCATTTTAAATGCATCTCTGAAGGCCTGCTCTGCACTGTTGAGGAGAAGGAAGGCTTTTTTTTTTTTTTTTTTTTTTTTTTTTTTTTTTTAATGGAAAGTTTTGACTTCTGCCTGTATAATCTAGCTCTGAGTGGCAGCAACTTGATTTTATTGTGTGGCTGCTTAGCTCTACCAGGATGTTTTAAGGGCTTTGTAAGCATCTAGACAAAGTTCACCTTTAGATGGATGGGGTCTTGGGAATGCTGGGACAGAGGAAATCTGCTCTGCAGGTATTCCTTTTTCATAGATGGAGCATTTCAGTGATGTGGAGAGGTGGCTTTGTGCTGCTTTTAAATTCAGTGTTGACCAGAGGAATTTGACTGTGAAGCCACCTTACTGGCTCTGAAAGGTTTTGTGGGGACACCCCTCACCCCAGTAGAAGTATAGTAGTGATTTCTGTAAATTGATGCGGGAACACAATTTCTCTCACCTCTAGAACCTCTAGGAAGGGAAGTGGAGACAGTGCTAGGGTATGCATCTGCAGTCAGCAAGATGGAGCTGTGACTACTGTGGGGCTATGCAAGTGTATGTTCTGCAGAGTGCCACTGGGCAGCAGCAAGAAGGGGGGCATAGGACTTGTGGACTCTGCAGAGGGTAGGGTCTGACCTCTGTGGAATATAGTAGACAGGGCTCTCTTTCTGGAAATTCAGGGTATGGAAGGCAGGACTCACGAGTATGAGGCCTGCATCTAACATAACTGCTGCCCAGAGTGGCCATATTTACCTTTACCCATACTCAAAGATCTTTGGCCCTGTTGTTGCCTGGGAGTGTGCTAGAATGTGAGCTGCCCATTCTGCTTTCTGTGTCAATACTGGCTTGTATTTTTTTTCCCCCCTAGAATCATTTCTGAGATTAAAAAATATTTTAAAAAACAAATGTAAGCTAAATCAGACTATGCAATAGCTCTGAAACTTAAGATCCCAGGACTAAAAGAGAAGTTTGCCCAAACATTGAGTTCCTTGCCAGGCGGTAGCTGTTCTAGAGGTTCCTAACTTGGGGTACTGTGCTGGGTAAGGATCCCAGGTTTTTTCTCCCTGGAGATGAAGTATGTAGTGTAGCTCCTCTTTGACCTCTGCTCCTATCAGAAAAGGGGCAGGAAGGTCCAGTTTTGCCTTGGTTTAGTGGCCAAATGGCCATTGGAAGAGAATATGTCTATTTACAACAAAAAGGACAAGTGATTCATCTGGCTTTGAAGTACATGCGTAAGCTTACCAGGTTGTGAGTGGCTGTGGGGGCCAGGCAATGTGGGAGGCAATCTTTGACCTAACAGACAAATAAAGGTATGTCTCTCCCTTTTCCCTTGCAGTATGACAATCTCCTGAGTCAGTTTGGCTGCATGCAAGTGTCATCCTCCTCCTCTTCCCACTCATTGTCTGCGGTGGATTCCAGCCTGCCTCAGAGGTCAGGCAGCAACATAGAGCAGTACATCCATGATTTGGACACTAACTCATTTGAACTAGACTTACAGTTTTCAGAAGATGAGAAAAGATTGTTATTGGAAAAGCAAGCCAGTGGAAACCCTTGGTAAGAACTGTAGGCATCAGCACCCCATCTAGAAATAGAGGGTGCATGGGAGCAGAGAACAGACGTGGACTGGTTGCTTGTCCTTGTCTTACCTCTGCAGTGCTCTTCAGAGGAACAGGTTCCCAGAGGTTATTAGGGGACCTTAGCTGGGACTTGAATTACATTCTATTCTTATGTTTTTACATCTTATATATTGATTTTAAGACTCACATATGTGAAAACTGTATTTTGCATTTTCTTCAACTTCTCATTTTATTGAAGAATATTGTTTTATAGTTGTAAATTTTTACAACGTTCATCTAACCTGTTCCTGTTCTAATCTTGTTTTCCATCCAAGTCTACTTAGCTTCAGTATTTTTATACAGTGTGTGTCACAATTGATGCCTGGTTACCTTTATTTTCTTCTAGTATTTTTATGCTTTATGCTTTTACTTTAAGGTTTAATTCTCTTACAATTTTATACATACATACATACATACATACATACATACATACATATAATATATTTTGAGCATATCTTCTCCCATTATGCTGAGGCATTTTTTATGACAGAGGGATCTCACAGGAATGTATATTTGAGTGCAATGGGAGGAGGAAAATTGAGGACTTGTTATAAGGCAGGAGGGAGAACGCATAATAAGACTCAGGAGACTTTATGGAGAGGGAGGAAGAAACCTTAGTAGCTTTTCTAGTGATATGCAGATGACTAAGACTAGAATGTCTTACTGTCAAAACTCATTTTCTCTAGAAAAATTAAATATGGATTCTGCTCCTAGAAATTAACCTATAATAATTCTGGGGAATTTAAATTTGTTCCTTAACTCACTCAATCCTAAGGTATTATTACTATCAGGGATAGAAAAGAATTTTTTGTTTTTGCTTTATTTTGATCTCAATCTCTTTTTCTTTTTTGGGGGGTGGGGGAGGAGAGAGGGAGCAGGACAGGGTGTCTCTGTGTTGCTTTGGAGTCTGTCCTGGAACTAGCTCTATAGACTAACTGGCCTCAGACTCACAGAGATCCTCCTACTTCTGCCTCCCAAGTGCTAGGAATAAAGGTGTGTGCCACAGTGCCAGGTCAGTTTTTTTTTTTTTTTTTTTTTAAAGTGTTTCTAGTTATTAATCTCTTATTTGAAGTGTGGCTGGTAAATATTTTCTCCCATTCTGTAATCTAAGGAAGATTTTGGATCAAAACAATTTGAGCAGTCCTAGCTGCAGTTCCAAGCAGGAGCTTTGTGTGTATGCTGAGTCCCTAGCTGTCCTGCTTTCTATAGTCTCATGCAGGAGCTCTTCATCTCAGAGCCTGGCTAGAAGCACTGTCTTCAGGGTGTGCATGTTTCAGCTCTTCTCTGCCTAGGGCTGTGAGTGCTAATCAGAACAAGAGGATTACAGTATCTTGCCCACTTTCTTTGGGTTTGGGATTCTCTATCCTTTCCTCAAGATTTCAAGTCTGGAGCCAGGCAGTAGTGGTAGTACACACCTTTAGTCCCAGCACTCGGGAGGCAGAGACAGGAGGATAGTCTTGAGGTGTATATGGATAGTAGAGGAGAGAACCAGACTTTGGAGTTTTGCATTGCTGCCATTGTGAGTTGAACTACCAGTCTCTGTGTCTTCACCTCTCTAACATCAATGACAGAATTTGCCTGTTTTGGGAGAGCCACATTGCTATGTGTGAATGGGAAGCTACCCATGAACTGAGTAGTTAATTATCTGTGGCTCTACTTCAGCTGTAGTTCTAGCTATTAATCTTCCAGGGAGAAAGATGCATAAGGTGTGCCTGGGCCTCATAAAAAGTCAGTAGAGCTGGAGAGATGGTTCAGCAGTTAAGAGGACCAGGGTTTGATTCCCAGCACCCATATGGCAGCTCAGCAACTATCTGTGACTCTAGTTCCATCACCCCCTTTGGGCCTCTGCAGGCACAAACATACATTCAGGCAGCAAATTCATTACCACCCCCCCCAAGACAGGGCTTCTCTTTGTAACAGCTCTAGCTGTCCTGGAACTTGCTTTGTTGACCAGGCTGGCCTCAGACTCATAGAGATCCATCTTCCTCTGCCTCCCGAGTGCCGTGATTAAAGGTGTGTGCCACCATCACCCAGCCTATAAAAAGTCCAAATGAGTTGTTGAAGTAATGTTTTCAAAGTAGATAAGCAGAGTTGGGGGTATGACTCTGTGATAGAATATTTGCTTTAGATTCAACCCCCAGTACCATCATAAAGAAGAAAGAAAGAAAAAAAGAAAGAAAGAAGCAGGCAGATAAATAAGCACTGACTTGTTTGTTGCAAGTGGCTGATTAAGTAGTGGATTGTGGTGTTGCTGCTGTTAATGGAACTTTCTTGGCCTGTTTCTTGTACCTTTGAATCCTGGACTACATAGGCAAGTGACATTTCTTGAACAAGCACACATGTGCACACATGCTCCCCTGAAGATTTAGAGGATGTTGGGCTGTGAGTGCATTCTCTGTGTGCAGAGTCAGCAAAGGGCACACTGATGCATGGTTATAGGAGCATGTTTGCTTCCTTGGCTTCAGACCCTTTGCTTTCATGTTGTTTGTTCTCCCTCCAATAATTTAACTAGTTAGTCTGCCTTTTCTTTACTTGCGAGAGCTTATGTTAAACTATTACAGGGTCTGCTTGTTAGGTGGACTTTATGGCAGGTCCTGCAGTGTTACCTGCATATCTTTGTGCTTTGTACCTTCTATGTGGCAGTAGGCCTTCCTCACTAATGTGCTTTTCAGAACCAGCCTATTCCCCCTGTGTTTCAAGTTGGGTGTTTGGTTAGTAAATATCTATCAGACAATGTGTAGTTCACTCTTTTTTATGGGTCACTGTTCTGTCTTTGTTCAGAATCTTAGTTGTTTTCAAAGTCTACACAGTACCATTTTGAGACCATTTTGGTTAGGCAGTGTGCTTTGGAAGATAGTCTGGTTGGTTTTGTGTGAGTCAGGTAGTAGGGGGTAGAGGGTTCTGCTCATAAGTGCCCCAGGGAGGTATCAGAGTATCTACATGCTTGACTTAGACAAATTTCAGACAGAAAATGTAACTTTTTAATAGTAGAAGTGGCATCAGACAGGACATAGAGCTAACCTCAGGTAGGTGAAGTGCTTTTCTGGATACACAAAGTAATGGGTTCTATCATAGTAGCTCAAAAAAAAAAAAAAAAGTACCATGATAGATATTTAAAGGTAGCTTTATGGAGGCTGGAGAGATGAGATGATTCAGCAGTTAAGAACACTGACTGTTTCTCCAGAGGACCCTGCTTCAATTCTCAGCACCCACATGGCAGCTCACAACTGTCTGTAACACCAGTTCCAGGTAATCTGACACCTTCACACAGACACACATGCAGGCAAAAACACTGAAGTGCATAAAATTAAATTAAACAAAAAACAAAAGGTAGCTTTAACCCAATAAAATACCTTTAGATGTTAAGCCATCTTTGACTGTGAGGAGACAGAGGTGAAGCACACACACTCATGTAGTAAGTCAGACCAAGTTCTTTAAAAATGCTAACATTATTTATTGTTTGTGCATAAGGAAGTCAAAGGACACCTTGGAGGAGTTAGTTTTCTCCTTTCATGTGTTCCTGCCATAATATATGTGTAAAAGTAATAGGATAACTTATGGGAGTTAGTTTTTTCCTTCTACCATGTTGTTCCCAGGGACTGAACTTGGTCATTAGGTGCATCTGGGGTATCTCCTGGACCTAAAGAGAGGCTGAATTTTGGGGTGGGGGGCCAGACTTGACTGATAAAAAAAGTCTACAGAAGCCTCATGGAGTTTGTCCAAAGGACAGAGTTTGGAGAATTGCTGTCTCATTCTTTTTTCTTTTTTAGGCACCAGTTTGTAGAAAATAACCTAATATTAAAAATGGGTCCAGTGGATAAGCGAAAGGTGAGTCAAGTCCCTGTTGCTCCTATTCATCCTATGACTTCCTACTGCTTTTAGCTCAGATCAGTTCTTCATCCTGGAGTCCTGTCATGATTTGTTGGTATGATATTTTGGCATGATCTTTGGAGATCATATCTAGATTTTATAATTGGGAACACTCAGGATCTCAGGGAACAGTGGAGTTGTGTAGAAAACCAGCTTTATGCTCTGGCCACAAGGCATGCTTTCTCATGGCTTCACAAGGCCCATCTCACTAAGCTAAGGTTTCTGTCACATTAAGGAAGATGTATCATTTCTGAGAGCTAAGCAAGTAGTCCTTCATTAGAAAATTTGAAAATACAGTTGTCATTATGTTTGTTGTTTGTTTTTTGAGACAGGGTTTCTCTGTAGCCCTGGCTTTCCTGGAACTGTGTCTGTAGGCCAGGCTGGCCTTGAACTCACAGAGATCTGCCTGCCTCTGCCTCTTGAGTGCTGGGATTGAAGGTGTGGGCCACCACTGTCCTGCTGTTTATTACATTTTATGGGCAACAGATAGTGTAGAATATATTAGACTCAACTAACAAGGGCTTCCTAACACCCTTCCTGGCTGTGTATACTCTGGAAGAGAGAATCTCCATGGAGGTGTCCTGAGGCCTGGCCTACCAAGGATAGACTCTGTAGCTTAGAGAAACTGAGGGGCCAGGGGACTGATGGGCATATTGTGAGCTAAATAGCAGAGACCTGTGCTTATGCTTTCTTGATGTAAGATGGTGGCCCTAGGTTGAGGAGGTTTCTCAGGTGAATGGATAGGTAGCTGGCAGTCACTATTCCCTGAGCTACTTACAAGTTATTCCCATCTATTACTTGATCAAACAGTTTGTTTTTTATTTATTTGTACCAGGGTTTATTTGCAAGACGACGGCAGTTATTACTCACAGAAGGGCCACATTTATATTATGTTGATCCTGTCAACAAAGTCTTGAAAGGTGAAATTCCATGGTCACAAGAACTCCGACCAGAGGCCAAGAATTTTAAAACTTTCTTTGTCCACACGGTGAGTCTGTCCCTATAAGGCCTCTGATTTGCTTCTGCATTTCTGTTGGATGTGTCCCTTGCTTTGGCTAAGGAAGCATCTAGGGTCAGGCCAGCTTCCTGTGTCTCAGAGACCTGTATGAACAACTTAGGCCTGAATTGGGCCAGGAAATACTCTTCTTCATTATTGCCTTCTGTAGGTCACCTGCCCATGTACTTAGTTTCTACATTTATAGATTGAAGAAGCCCACTGTGCCCACAGGCTTTGAAAAGGTACTGGCAGCATTGACAGCAAGACAGGCTGGGTGGGTTCGGGACTCCCTGGAGGACATCAGATGCTCTGTCTTTGCAGCCTAACAGGACGTATTACCTGATGGATCCAAGCGGGAATGCTCACAAATGGTGCAGAAAGATCCAGGAGGTTTGGAGGCAGCGGTACCAGAGCCATCCAGATGCTGCTGTGCAGTGACGTGGCCTGCGGCCGGGCTGCCCATCGCTGCCAGGATACCTGCCCCAGCGCGGCTCGGCCGCCACCCAGGACGCTTCCAGACAACCTGCCAGCCATCTCAAGGAGAACATGGATGGTGGAAACCTTGCAGCTTTTTTATTTAAAAGAAAAGAAAAAAAAGAACCCAGCCACACAAAGAACAAAACAAATAACCAACAAACAGGAATTCAGGGTCGCTTTGCTTGCTCTCTGTGCTTTGTGGTGGCTTCCATGCACTGCTGTGGCCATGGAGACCCAGCTCCTTGCATGGTAGCCCAGCTTCTGCCCAGGCCAGTGGCCACATTTGGCATCACCAGCCCCTCCTAGCATCCAGAGGAACTGCATGCCTGCTTCTACCTTTCCCCACCTGATAAACACAGCTCCTGCTGTGACTGAGGGACCGGGTGTATCTGGTTCTCCTTCACCAGGGAGCCTCTTCACTCCTCTGCTGGGGTAGTCACCAGCTCACTGTGGGTACAGGGCTCTTACCTTGTGTGTGTACTCCCTTCCTGAGTCCCTTTTATGGACCTAGAGATGTGGTCAGGTGTTGTTTCCAGTAGCAGTACTTCTGTGGTTCCTGCTTTACAGTAGGCATGGTGAGAAGTATGCAGGCTGTTGTTGTTACAGACTGCCCTTATTGGGCTCTGCTCCATCATTCCACTTCCTAGAAGTTCATCCAGGGAATTAGACATCAAACCAAGCATGTGTCCAGGAGGGGTGCTGTCATAGCAGCACCTAGATAACACCAACTAGATCATTATCCAATACAGAATCCTGTCCTGAACCAGGGCAAGGTTGGCGATACCACAGAGAATCCAGCCTGGGCCACAGCTCTGTGTGGAGGAGTGGGATAGCAGGCCTTCCTGGGAGTTTCTGCAAAGGTTTAAATGTTTAGGTCACATGTCCACAAGGTAGGGGCCAAGAAAATCCCAGAGTGTATGCCAGTACCTGCGCAGCTTCACGTGTACCTGTTAGTGCTTTGTTTTTACATCTGTTGAAAGCCTGGTCACCTGGTACCATAAAGCATGGACCTTGCCTGGAAAGAATGTTACCATTGTCTGGCTCATAGGAACAGCCCACTTAAACCTGAGCTTGCCTGTGCTGGAATTCTTTGCCAGTATTGGGACATTTCTCTGATGCTTTGTTCTGTAATGCAGATGGCCTGGGATATTTTGGCACTCTTGCAGAATGCTCTGAGAGACTTGGTTGTACCTTTCTCTCTGACTAGGATGTCCCTAAAGGGTGGCCCTTGGTCCCCAGTAGGCATGTTGCCTTCATAGGCTGCTTACAGCAACACCTCCTCCCATGTCCCGAAGGCAGCAACAATTTTGCCTTTTTTTTTTTTTTTTTTTTTTTTTTTTTTTAACATTCACAAAGAAGCTCCAGAATGCCCACACAACAATTACCCCAGTTCTGTCCACAGTGAGCACTTGTGGGTCAGGCCACTCAAACTGAGAGGGGAAATATTCTGTTCTCAAATTTAAGTGAGTGGTTCTTTCTAACTGGAGTGGAGTGTAGATGAAAAGCTTGCCATCATGCTTTGGCAGGGATGCTGGATGGGAGCAGGGGTTTTCTTCAGACTTTGCTAGATTGTATAAGAGCTTCAGGTGACCAAGGAGCAGGTGTCAGGACCTCACCTGCCCCCAGCACCCAGGGAACAGATAGCCCAGCACACTGTCAGCCTATGAGTGAAAGTAGGCACTCTTTCTCCTGATTTTTGAAGAATCTGTGTTAGCTACACTTGACTGTCTCCTCCTTAGAGTCCTGTTGTTGCTCATGCCTTGTGGCTATTTCGCCCTCAAGAATGTCCTATACGCATTTGCATGTGTAAGAGTGGCTTCCTGGCTGTCACATGCATGCTGACACAGGGAAGGTATCTCTGAGGACACTTACTACAGGGGACCACATGGGGCAGAGGCATGGCTTGAATTAGAACACCTGGCTGGCTTATGGGAGAGTCCTCTGTTGTTTACTCCCCTGGAGAGCAACACTACCTCCTGGGCTTTACCAAGTGCCATCCTAACCTCCGAAATCAGGGTTTAGCTGAGTGGGTAGTGAGTGGCCATGATGACTGCCCTATGCTACAATAGCTGAGCTCTTCCCAGCTCACCTTTATCCTTACTGCCCCCTTTTCCTTGATTTTTTTTCTTCTCCTTAAAGATCCATGTACATTCTTTTCTTATCCTGATTTAGATAATTTTAATTTTTTTCTAGTCATCCTTAGAGCCATCACCCAGTGTGCAGGTGCCTTACACTGTAGGACAGGATGTAGGTGTCCATTTGTACAACACTCTGTGTGTGTGTGTGTGTGTGTGTGTGAGAGAGAGAGAGAGAGAGAGAGAGAGAGAGAGAGAGAGAGAGAGAGAGAGAGGAGAGAGAGAGGCAGAGGCAGAGGCAGAGGCAGAGACAGACAATAAATGGGAGATCTAGCTAAGGAGAGAAAGCTTTATTAGCTACAGAAGCCGTGTGTCCTAAGAATGACAAGAATGAATATGAACAGAAAGTTGAAGACTGTCCTCTGGCTTCTCTTACCTAGGACTGTACCTTACAGCCCATTGGCGTCACATGAAGCTGAGCTTGAATGGGTCATTTCCACCTGTTTTTCTGTACTCTGGTTGGGCAGTGGGCATCCCCATGTAGTTGAGTCTAGGTTCTCTAGAGAGTGGCACCGTAGCTCAGCTATCATTCTAAGCTCTATCCTAGTAGATGCAGAGATGCAGTAAAACCACTTTGAGAAAGATGGCTTGTATTAGGCTGGTAGAAACTTCACTTGCTGCAACCATCTTTGGGCCACCCTAGTGTTTATGCTTGAAGTAACCTTGGATATATTCAAGTGTGGCACAGGTTCCCAGTGCCATCAAGGCCCATCATTCAGAGACCACTGTGAGCATTTTAATGTAGATCCTGCTCTTCCCTCCCCAGCCTTTTTTTTTTTTTTTTCTTCTGTCATTGTTGTCCCAGTGCTGGGAATTGAATCAGGGCACTCAGGAGTGCTAAGCAAGTGCTCTACCACTGAGGTACATCCTTAGCCCTTGTTTGCTTATTAAATCAAACTGGGAGCGTACACATACATCATTTTGTATCCAGCCTTTTCACTTGACATTTTTTCCTTATACATTTCTCCATGAGCAGTTCTTCAGAAGTATGTTTTTTTTTTTTAATAATTATGGACTCAAATGGTTGTAAATTTATAAGTTATTTAACTATTTCCCTGTTGTAAAACATTCAGATGGTTTTGGGGTTTTCTGGGTTTTTTTTTTTTTGTTTTGCTATTTAAATAATGCTGTGGTGAATATAATTATCTGTTTTTGATTTTTACTCTGATTTTTTTCTCTCCTTCACATGCCTGCAAGTGGCATTTTTGGGGTCAAAAAATTTGTTCATTTCACAGCAGTTCCTCCTCCTTGCTCTGATATTTAAATGCTCCGAGTTCCAGTAACACCTTTCTCATGTCCTTCAGATTTTGAACACATCAGTTCCCGCTAAGCTGTGTATTCCCAAGAAAGTTTGACTATGACCGCTTTTTTTTTTAATGCTAAAATTTCATTACTGCAGATCCATTTGTGACAGATTTTTTTCCATAAGCCAGTTTGTTCATTTTCATTGCAAGAATCTGGTCATGCATGTTACTTCTCTTCCATCTTTGCTGCTATGGCTTCCAAGTGCTTGGTGATGTTTTCAGAATCTTGTACTTTGTGTCTACAATGGTACTCAATCTGCTTCTGCACAGTCAGCAGAGATAAAGTGTTAAACTGACCATGCCACATGCTTAATGCATTTGGGCCATTTTGGGATGAGTAGCAAAGCTCTGATTGAAAAAGAAACCATGTAGATGATTGGGTTTTATAAAAGTTTAGTTGTGTCCTTGCTCCATTCTTCCTCAGGTTAGCAGTTCAGGACAACACAGTGGCCAGGCTTTTTCATTACAGAGGATGGGTGTCCCAGCTGATGTTGATGTAAACCTTCCTGTGTGCTGCAGGTAATTATGGTCTTCTAATACAGCCCACCTAACCAAATTGGGTTGTATCTTTATTTGTGTTGGGTGGGGCCTGTTGATTCTATCTGGAAATATACAGCAGAATATTTCTGGGCACCACATTCAGTGTTATTCAACTCTACCAGAGCCTAGGGCTCAAGAAATCAACTGTCTGCTTTCTGATGCCTCAAGGCTTCTCCCTACTGCTCCATAGACCCAAGGTGCTCATATCTGAGACTTGGGAGGTTGTAGCAACTCTGAGTGAGGATACTGTGTTCCAAGAGATGCTGCTGTTCACTTTTTCCATTTTGCAAAACCCAACATAAGCTGACTCCAGTGGGTGTAGCACCTCTTAGATAGAATGCATGAAAGGACCCTGGCAGATTAGACAGGGTTGGAACCACTCTCAGAGCCTCTGGAGATAACTGGCTTCTGGCCTAATACCTAGGGTTATAAATCAGAATAGAATGCTTGTGTAAAAGTGGCCTAGGAAGATGTCAAAGCATCTTTGCAGTGATGAGCAAATGAATTAACCGATGTGAATGCCTGAAACTCCCCTGTAATTCTTTACTTCCATATGAAGAATTCAAACTGTACAGATGGTTTTACAAAAGGCAGATTTTTCCTTTCTCATGTAGTCCACCCTAGTTTAATCATCTGGGTTAATGGCTACAAGTCATCGTGCAGGTGAAAGCCTCCATTATGACCACCGATTCATTGGACATTGGCAAATTAAAATTTTACAGTATTTAGAGCTGCTGCGGCTGTTCCTTAGCCACGTACAGTAGGATGAATCAATAGTCTATTGCTGTCATTCAGGTTGGTGGCAGTCAGTTAGAACATGTGTAATATTCTCTACCTGGTCTGTAGCTGTAACTGTGATGTACAGGCAAAGCAAAAATTAAAAATACTTATGAAAACAGATAATGCAATGATACTAGGATATACACTTTTGTATTTTTATTCTTATATAAGGTTATTTGCTGACTATTGTCGGCCTCTAGTTCAGTCTGTTATTTAAATTCTAATATATGAATTATTTGGATTGAATTCATGTTTGGGGCCACGTTGTTGTATGTATTGATGTACAGCCTTGAATGTGAATAATTATTGTAAACTATATTTTACAACTTTTCTCCTGGCTTTATTATATAAATTTTCTATTTGGTCATGGTTTAATCATATAATTTAATGAAAAAAATCTTCCTCTTTTTTTCAAATATCTGTGCTTTAGATGTAATTACCAGATGATGGATTTCCCTCGTATGCTCGGTAGTCTTGTAATAAAAGCATGTAGAGTGTATGCTTTCGTCATCCTGGCTCCTCTTTGGGCCAGGGCCTGGGCTGGGGTGGGGCTGGAAACCAGGATCCCTGTGAGAACCCGAGGCTCGCTCTGGCCGGAAGCGGTTGTCGCCGGCCTGTTTTTCGAGCCGGAACTTCCGCCTTGCTCATCATGCCTGGGCGGGCACTTTACTGGGGTGGACCCATGGGCGGGACAACTCGTAGAACTACATTAAAGAACGGACGCTTCCGGCGAAGGGGCACTGTGGCGGGGCTTGTTGGGATCATGGCGGAGAATCACTGCGAGCTGCTGTCGCCCGCTCCGAGCGGCCTCGGGGCGGGGCTGGGGGGCGGCCTGTGCCGCCGCTGTAGCGCTGGGCTCGGCGCCCTGGCACACCGCTCCAGTGGCGTGTCCAAGTGGGTCCGGCTCAACGTCGGTGGCACCTACTTCCTCACCACCCGGCAGACGCTGTGCCGGGACCCGAAGTCTTTCCTGTACCGCTTGTGCCAGGCGGACCCCGACCTAGACTCAGACAAGGTGAGGACCTCGTGGGTCAGCGGGGGCCGGCCGTCCTGGTCGCCACCCGCGGCATACTCCTCTCCACACCGAGGGCGCTCAGCGGAGCGGGCACTGAGCCCAGCGTCCTGGGCCGGAGGGAGGATGGCACTCTCCTGCCCATCCACCTAACAACCCCTCTGGTTAACAGTGCCTCTCTCCCTCGCCTTGCCTTTCATGCTTTTCGGTCGAGAAGGTCCTGGCTTTACTGTGGCTCTAGTTTCTTCTCCCTAGGTTCTTTTGCTCAGGGTGTGTGAACAGCATCGCCCCAGCTAGCTTTGGAACCTGAGAACCCTTTGCATTCATCTGGTCTTTTCACATTCCAGACGTTTAAATTAACGTAGGCCATGAGGGTTGACACAGTGGCTGCCTTTTTCCCAGTGACTTGCAGAGTTTGTGCTCCATCCTTCTTGTCCATAATATGAACAGGCTGTGAAGCTATTACAAGGTACCTCCTGAGTAAGAATGTACAAAGGTGTCGTTTTACTTCTAATATATGAATTATTTGTATTGAATTCATGTTCGGGGCCAGATGTCGAAAAATCTTAAGACTTGTCTAAGAGACACCAGATGTAGAATCCTTTTGATCAGCTTTGCAAACTTGGTTTCCCCACCGCCTTTGCAAAAGGGTAGGAATTTCCAGGTTAGTTTGTAGTTTATCTTACATTTAATTAAATAGTAGTACTGTTAAAACCTGGGATAATAGAAAATATTTCGATTACAAGAGTTGCGTAGCATAGTGCATAACTCATATCTCAGAACTGCAGTATTGAAATTTAGAAAAAAAATAGTTTTCTTCTTTTTCTCCATAGGCCTTATACTAACTTTGTGAGTTTTCTGGTTGAGCCTACATGACAGCACTTGACTTTGTCCCTTGCCAGCCTGAAAGTTGTTGCTTAGGAGGCTTTCCCGAATGATTGGGAGCCCATTTCACTTCAAAAGAACTAAAAGAACACCTTCTCAGAGTGGTCTGGCATTAATACAGGAAATAAAAATTCTTGAATTACTGCAAAATAACCAAGAAATTGGGGTTTGAGATAATAGTATGTTAGTCCCTCACAACCCTTCTCCTGAAGTGTCCCCATTTCTGAATTGACCAAATCTCTTTTTTTTGTTAGAGAACTAACCTTCCAGAAAATGAAGAAACTGTCCAGGATAGAAATAAGCTTTTGTCAGATGGGTTTTCTTTTTATAGTGAAGGGTGTATGTTTTGTTGTTGATTTTTCAAACAATGAGGGTTTATAACCATTCTTGTTTTTCTACTCAAGCATCTCTGTCTTGTTTGTTACATCAGGTTTTAAATTGGCCTTATCCATTGGCTCTAGTGTCTGCCTAATTTTAGCCCTGGAACAGTGGATTTAGAATTGTTTCACTTTAGCATAGTTAAAGTCAAATACATTTCTTCATCTTAACTGCCTCTTAAGATTACTTTATAGATTAACCTTTATTGGGCTGTCGAGATGGCACCTGCTGCCAAGGCTGACGGTTTGAGTTAAGTCTCTGGGACCCACATGGTGGAAATAAAAAACTGACTCTTGAAAGTTGTACTTTGAACCAGGCGGTGGTGACACATGCCTTTAATCTCAGAACTGGGGAGGCAGAGGCAAGTAGAGCTGAATTTGAGGCCAGCCTGGTCTCCAGAGTGAGTTCCAAGACAGTCAGGGCTACACAAGAGAAACCCTGTCTCAAATTAACCCTCAAAAAGAAAAGAGGCTGAAGAGATGGCTCAGTCATTAGAAGCAAGGGCTGCTCTTCCAGAGGACCCAGGTTCAATTCCCAGCACCCCAATGGCAACAATTGTCTATAACTCTAGTTTTAAGGGATCTGACACCCTTATATGCAAGCAAAACACCAATGCACATAAAATAAAGTTATTAAAAATTTTTAAGGTTGTATTCTGACCTCCAAGTGTACATTATGGTACTTGGGTGCCCCCACACATACACACATACATAAATAAGTAGATGTAACTGTGTGTGTGTGTGTGTGTGTGTGTGTGTTTGTGTGTGTGTGTGTGTGTGTGTTTACTGCAATGGGAGATTCTCTTACCAGGTTATGTTTTAGTTGATTTTTTTAAAATTTATTATTCCAGAGATAGTTGGCCCGGTGGTTAAGAACATTCATTGCTCTTACAGAGGATCCAAATTGGGTCCTAGAACACCTCTTGGTGGCTCATAACCATCCGTAACTCCAGTTCTAGGGAGTCCATCACCCTCTTTTGACCCCTTTGTATACCAGGCATGTGTGTGGTGCATGCAAAATACTCATACACATAATGTAAAATAAATATAAAGTTAGTTTCAAATTACATTTGACTTCTAAATTATAAAGCCACAATTCGGAACATAAAAATAATATAAAACTACCAGGCATGAGAGAAAGTAACTGTATCCCAGCATTTTGGGAGGTAGAGGTAGAAGGACTAGGAGTTTGAGGTCATCCTTGGCTACATAATGAGTGTGAGGCCAGCCTATGCTACTAGGACCCTATCTTCAGAAAAATATAGTGGATACAATATTGGTACCATGGTTGACATGGTTTTAGTCATAGGTTGCTAGAAAGAGTAATTCTCACTCATATTAGTCATGTTACTAGAGTATTCAAATAAAAAAAATCTATAAATGTTCTTTGTTCTCTGTACCACCCGCCCCCCCCCAACACACCAAGTTCTGATGAAAGAGTATCCCAAGAGGTTCCACCTTAATTAAATCCAAAGGAGGAGGTTAGAAGGGAAGGGGTGTTAACAGATGGAGGCCATTAATTACATGATGGAAGATAAACAGGATGTTGATTCACATGGAAAGATCTCAAAGCTCTGACCTCATAGTTAAGATCAAGGAAAGGATACCTGGCAAATGCTCCTGGAGTTGAACTTTTAACAGGGATCTGCTGGAAGATTCCCTTTCTGGTATTTGGTGTATATTGAATGCTTAACTTTGCAGAATATGATGCCAAGATGGGACTTAGGTGAAGAAATCTAAGGGAAGAAGTTCCCAAGAAACCTTTCAGAAACCTTCTGGGTTTCACATATTATGGGAAAATACCAAAGGCAGGCTGTTGTTTGGGGTGTCAGGGCTATGAGTAAACTACAGGGAAGTAAGTATCTTCCAAAGCCGTTGACAGATTGCTAGCGGTAGTAGAGAATGTAGACACAAGGCTTGCTTGACTGTCCTTTCAGCTTCATATTCAGTCTTCTGGGCTGTACCTGTCCTCAAAACCCAGGGTAGGGCTTAACTACCCACCAAGCCTTATATCCTTAGACCTTTGACCTCTTATTTCAGGGGCCAACTCTGAGCCCACTGCTGCCATGAAAGTTCTTTTTCTAGACAGTCTGAGTGAGTGAATTCTCACTTCCTCTTGGGACATCCTCCAGTGGGACTATGGTTGTGCTGTGCATTTGAACATCTGCTGTTGTGTGTCATTTTTTTCTCCAGTGTTGTCTTTGGGGGCAGGCCAGGCATGAAATTTGTAAGCTGCCCATGGGAAGTGCTTTGCAAAGGCTTGATGTTTGATGCATTTTGATTATGTTTCTGCATCCCATGTTATGTTGAAAACATAGTTGGTGTTTGTAGCTCAACTGGCCTGATTTAGTGTGATGATGCTTCAGGAGGAAAAGGGAAACGGCAAATACTGTACTGGTTGGAAGCTATCCCGAATTAGAGTGTTCTGTCTCTGACTGAGCCAGATCTAGAGAAAATAACTACTCACACATGAACTTCTTGCCCTTGGAACGGTCACTGTCCCAGCTTTGAGGTTGTAAGTATAGTTTACCACCAGGTGGGTCTTTGGAAATAATGTTTACCAGGCATCTATAGTTCTCTGTATCCGCTTTGGGTACAGTTGGTGTTAATGAGTTTTAGGGTTGGAACAATATAAAAAGAATTTTAAGCCATGGCCAAGAGATGGGATGTAGGAGGGAGAACCATCTTTGAATTAGTTGCTTGGTAAGAGAAATGGGGATTACTTAGGGTATAAATGGTAGATTTTGTTCAGTGAAACTAAATCAGAGAAACTAGCCAGCAGCATCCTGTGCACTGGGCAGAGTTGCATTGGCCATAGCCTGTGAGTGGGCATCTAACGCATGGATGTGTTTTACTTCTATAGTGTGCTAAGGATGTGGCTCTTAGTGTGTTTTTGGCCTGGATGGTGCATCCTGGTGTTGCACCCTCTTTGCAATAGGTGCTTGCCCTCACTAAGTTTGGTCACCTCTGTCAGTGTGCTTCATTCAGGTCAAGAGGACTTATCATCAAGTGAGGAGTTGGATCTTTCCGAGAAGAGCTTATCTCAGGGTATTCTCTGAGGCAGCAGGGAGGTGGCTGGCAGGTATAAAGCCATTCTTCCTCTGTCTACTACTAGTATAGTTCAGTTGTGCTTGTCCAGCATGATAGTGCCTGGCTTTGGTTTTGCACAGGGGTCAGAAAACTGGCCACCTGCCAGCTTTCCCAAATCACATATTCTTGGAGCTGTTCATTCCCCTGTGGATGGGGTATGGGTGCTTTGGCTCTGAAAACAATAAGGCCAAGGTACTTACTAACCAGCCCTTCTCGGAGAGTTTGTGCCTTCTGGTCCCAGAAGCAGAGGCTTAGGGGTGGGTGTTATCTACTGCTTCTCAGGCATCAATGCAGTCCCTTTTCAGAGCTCTGTCTGCACTTTGCTTACTCAGTGATTCTCTCCTCTGCAGACTCTGGGCTACTAGCCAATGGGAGGGTCTGTTCAGGTGCAGGTTGCCTCTCATTAGGCCTTGATAGGGGCAGCTTGAATTTAGCTTGCGGTGGGAAGGAGCAGAGTTGCCTGGTTAGGCACTGCGTTTTCTTATATGGTGCTTGTGCTTGATGCCTTTAAGCTTAGGAAATACAGCTATGGAGCTTAGGTGCCGCACCCAGTACCCATGGAGATGGCTTTGAGGTAACCCACAAAACATCTTAGGGTAGGATGTGCCTCAGCATTTCCACTGCCCTTGTTATGGTGGGTTCTTGCTTCCT